AGAGAGAGAGAGAGAGAGAGAGAGAGAGAGAGAGAGAGAGAGAGAGAAAGGCCCCTTAAGCACAATTAATAAAAACTCTGAGAGAGAGAAATTGGGGTTCAACCTGAAGACCTGAAGAGCAAAACAGCCAGCCGCTGGCTCTTACCTCAACGTCAGTCTGAAATGTCAATCCTGCCTTCAGGAATCTCAGAAGGAGGCTACGTTTGAAAGCTGTTTCCTCCTGTTTTATAATCCTCTCTAGAGCTGGGATTAAAGGCATGCACCACCCCATTTCCATGGCAATTAGTGTGGCTACTGGTATTAAAGGTGTATGACATTGTTACTACTGAGTTTAAAGGCGTGTGTTACCATTTCCTGGTCTGGAAGGCTGAGCAGTGAGGCTGCTTTACTCTCAGATCTTCAGGCAGGCTTTATCTCTTGAAATACAATTGGAATGTCACTACAGGCCCCACACTAAAGCAGGAGGATCCCAACTGAGACAGGGATGGGCATGTGGTTAGAAGTATCAGTTCTCTTGTACTCAGTATCGTCTATTGGGGCTTCTCACTTTCCCTAGGACACAGGAAGAAATACCAGGGCTATCTGCGGGAGGCAGTTAAAGATAAAGAAAACTGTGGTCAGGTGAGTTACTGCTAGAACAGGTAAGGGGATGGAAGCTCTGATGCCAACAGGGCCCGGAATTACATCAAGAATAGGATGCAATTATGGATTTGGGGACCACACTCACAGAGAAGAAGCAACAGTTTGGGGGTAATGATAATAACTCAGAGAGGGCTGTCCAGTTCAGACTTCTATGTGCCAGCGGAGGGGACCTCTCCAGACTCTTCTCCTCCCCCTTTCTCTTATTCCTTTTTTCACTTCTCCATCATTTCCCCACCACCCCCAGCTCGGGGAGTGACATCAGGAGAGTTTGCGCCCAGGGCAGGCGGTCCGGAAGACCTTATCTGACATTTAGTCTGAGGAAACTCTGTGTTCTGAGTGCACACCAAGTCCTAAACAGCCACCGTAACATGGACATGAACTCATACCCCCAAAGCCTCAGCTTCTGCTTTTCTTCATTCAGCAGGAGACATGCCTATTGCACCAAACACACCAACATCTGGCTGCCTCGGTTTGACCCACTTCCTACCTAGTTTGTAGCCGAAAGCAGGGAGCACAAATTAAAGTGAGAGAAAGAAGAACCCCCAAACCACCATCTGCAGCAGGAGACATACGTGAAATGACCCCAGCACAATTCTACAAGTTCTGGAATGGAGGAGTCTGCTATAATTCAGCCTCTCCTGGATCCCTCCTGGCAGCTGACCTGCCAAAGAGCACGGAGCCTGGAGGCTGAATATCTGTATAATGCCTCATAAGGATGGCTCCGGTCATGTGATACAGCAGTGGCTGTCAAGGTAAGTGGTTTTGGCAATAACTGAAGGGAAACAACCTCAGCAAGCTGCTCAGGATGTGTGCAATGCTCAGTCAAGCACGCAACAGGGCCCTTCTGGCACGTTCCCTGTGGATCCTTCCTCCTTAGGTGACTTCTAGGGGTTCTTTCCATTTGTAATAGAGGGATTTTTTTATTAATTTATAAAAATTTCCACTTCTGTCCCTCCTCCCAATACCCTCCCACTCCCCCCACTCCCTCTCCTTCTCCCTCTCCAGTCCTAAGAGCAGTCAGGGTTTCCTGCCCTGTGGGAAGTTCAAGTTCCTCCCCCCTCCCTCCAGGTCTAGGAAGGTGAGCATCCAAACAGACTAGGATCACAAAAAGCCAGTAGATGCAGAGGAAACAAGTCCCAGTGCCATTATCAATGGCTTCTCAGACAGCTCTCATGTCAGCCACATTCAGAGAATCCGGTTTGATCACATGCTCATTCAGTAATAGGGGGATTTTAAAGAGCAAGAGGGCATTAAAGAAAAGAATGGTTTTTTCTTCAGCCTGTACCTTAACTTTCAACACCATTCACAGAACTTCCGAGATGAAATTGAAGGCTGGCAGAAAAGCCCACATTTTCAAATCCTGAAGCACTTTAAGCAAAACCTCTTAAAGTTTCAGAGCAGACTCTGATGTGCCTGCCTGAGCTTCTGTGTGCAGCCCTCATCACTGTGCTTTGGCCTCTCAGTCAAGCCTCCCCTCGGATACACAGCCAGTCACTCAGCAAAGAGGATATGCCCCAAAATGGATCCTGGACAAGAGGTCCTCCACGGACCCTCAAGACCTAGTGTCCCCTTGTCTGCTGGGATCACTTCTCTGGGGACTCAGTGATTCTCAGCAGCCCTTACAGCAGCTTCTACAGCTGAGAGGTCTAGGTGGCTCTCCCATCAGGCGCAGCCACCTTGGTCCATCTTCACTGGCTTTGTGCCTGGCTGCAGCCCTTGCCCTACACACATGACTAGGTGCTTTCATCACTGTTCCATTGCTGTGAAAAGACGTCATGATCAAAGCAACTCTTATAAGAGAAAGCATTTAATTGGGGCCTTGCTTACAGTTTTTATTATCATCACGGTGGGAAGCAGGGTGGCATCCAGGCAGGTGCCTTGGCAGGAAAGCAGGGAGGGCAAGCCTGGGCCTGACATGAGTTTTTAAAAATGCTCACTCCCAGAGACATAGTTTCTTCAATGAAGCCACATTTAATCCTTCTAATCCCTTCAAACAGTTTTGCTCCCTAGTGACTAAGCATTTAAATATATAAGTGAAGAGGGGGCAATCTCATTCAAACTACCACACTAGGCAGCCAGGAAGGTTTTCTTCTTGTAAGAGTACCATAAAGAATGTCTTCCTCTGGCTCAGTGGTACACTCAGCAGGCAGAGGCTGAGAAGCTGCTGCAAAGGCACAGTTGTCAAAGAAGCTTTAGTTCAATGGGGCAGAACCTTGCATCTAGACCTTCCACCAAAGGGAAAGTGACTTGGAGGCCCTTTAGTCCTTGGGTCCCGAAGATCTTGTATTATTGATTTCATCACCTTCCTGCCTAGTCAAAGGTTGGGTCTGTCTCCAGCAAACACCCAGAAAATTCCACTGTTCATTTAATGCAAAAACCTCACCTGTGACTTCACCTTCCTCTCCTATTTTATTTTCTGTTCGTCTTTTTGCTTCACTTGGTCTAACTTAGTTTTTCTTTGCTTTTTAGTAAATTTTTGAGTTCGCTATTGTATTTGGGTTCTCCTGTGTTATTATACCAGCAGAAAATTGACTATTGAATTAATGGGTGTTCATTCTGGTCTGCTAGACTTCTTAGGTGGAGTGCTCCCAGGTCACGGCTCCAAGCCTCACTCTTTCAACCTTGTTGACCCTGTGCTGAAGGGCACAGATCGTGTTTCATTGGACCTAATGCTCGTTGACTTTGACTCTGATCCTGAAAACTTGTTAAGCCCTCACAAGCTAGCGAGAAAAGATTGCTGTCTTGGTTTTCTTTTTTTTAAAATTTTTTTATTCATTTTACATACTAACCAAAGCTCCCCTTCCCTCCTTCCTTTCCCCCCCCCCCCCCCCTCCCCACATTTTTCACAAGCGGCATCTTTTTCTGGTTTTGTAAATTTGGATGTCTCTGCCTAACAGAGAAAAGTTTATTTAAATATTGTTTGGTTGGTTTATGCTTTTCAAGACAGGGTTTCTCTATGTAGTCCTGGCTATCCTGGAACTCACTCTATAGACCAGGCTGGCTTGGACTCCCAGAGATCTGCCTGATGCTGCCTCCATAGTGCTAGAATTAAAGGCATACCCCATAACCATCTGACTATTTAAAAATTCTTAACAAAAGCTACATAGTAAAGTCATCAAGGAAAAATTTATATTTAATATATTTTATGCCTTTGCTTACATATTTTAATTTTTATATACTGCAAAGAGTTTCTTTTTCTAAGAACAATTATTTTATTTTTTATTTATTTCATTGAATATAATTATATACTTCCACCCTTCCCTTTCCTCCCTCCAGTTTATCCCATACCCCTCAGCCTCAAATTGATAGCATCTTTTTGATTATCATTATATACATGTATGTGTGTGTGAACAAATACAGGAATACGGTCTGCTTGAGTCCATTTTTGTTATTTGTATGTATATGGTTTCAGAGCTAACCACTTTATATTAGATAGCTCATTGGAGTCTCATTCCCAGAACAGGCTAATTCTCTCCTTCTTGGCAATCAAATGCATGAAGTCTTGTTTAGGATAGGGCCCAGAGAAATTTCCTCCTTCCACATTAGCACAGCTTTTGGTATTATTGTTGTTGAGGTGTTGTTTAGACAGCCATATTGTTGAACTATCATGTATGCAACTTTGCTGTTGTTTCTAAGAAACACAAACTCACAGCAGACTTCCCATCTTCCAGTTCTTTCCTCCCCTTCAGCCACAATGTTCCCTGAACCTTAGGTGTGCAGGAGTTGTGTTGGAGAAATAAGATAAATGCTGCACACTGGGTGCTGGTGACACACACCTTTAATCTCAGCACTGGGGAGGCAGAGACAGGCCTGTGAGTTCGAGTCCATCCTGGTCTACATACTGAGTTCCAGAACAGGGTTCAAAGCTACAAATAAAACCCTGTCTCAAAAAAAAAATTAATGCTGCATATTCTCTCTTGTCTGCATGACCCTAGTTGCAAATATTCAGATGTGAGCATATAACCTGGAATGAACCACAGAAACTGGAAAACTAAAAATGGAACATGGGAAACAGGGATCAGAGAGCGATTTTGAAGGATATGGGTGATATGAAGGGATAAATGGGGCCTATGGGAATGAGCAGCTTTAATTGGGGTAGGAGGAGTCAATAAAAAAGGAGAGGGAGGAGGAGGAAAAGTAATGCTAAGGGTAATTGAAGAAGTTTTAAGGAGTTTTATATTTGCTTAAAATTACATATGATGTCCACAAACACACTCACATGTGCATACACACACACACACACACACACACACACACACACACACACACACACTTCTTGGGCTAATAATGTTCCCACTGAGAACCATAGACCATACAGCAAAAATTCCAGTACCAGTCATGAGAAACTCCCTTTAAAGTTGTTAATCAGGTAATTCCATGAGACTCCAAAATCAATAGAGGTTTTTGCCTCTTAGAGGTGGAAGGTAAATCCCTATTGCTGACAGTACTCTCATACTTTGGACACAGGACTTCAAAAAGTACAGCTACATCTGACATGAAAGATTCCCTGAGGTTCAGCTTTCATAGCACCAGAAGACACTATGCAAACTTCCAAGGAAAGAAAACAATAAATAGACCTTCCCAGCTGTGATGCCTATGAGCTCGGCAGTGACTAGCCTAGCAAGATGACCCAAGAGGTGTGGTAGAGGCATTTATATCAGTCACCAGCAGCTATATAATTGGGCTTATGGATGAATCAACAGGAGGGAAAGCATACCTGAAACTGGAAAACTAGCCGCCGACTACCCGTGCCTAGAGAGGGCACAGATCTCAGAGGAGAACCTACTGCCGCCATATTTCTAGGACAGCACTAATTCCTAACTGCATTTTAAAGCTTATCATTATAGTCACAGAGACATGTAGCTCTCCCCTCTCAAGATGATTACAGAAAACCACAACTGGGGCTGGAGAGATGGCTCAGAGGTTTAGAGCATTGCTTGCTCTTCCAAAGGTCCTGAATTCAATTCCCAGCAACCACGTGGT